TTCTAAAAGAAATAAATTGAAGAGTGCAGTTCATATTCTAGGAGATTGATGAGCACTTATAAAAATTGAGCTCTCTTAGCAGAAAGGATATAAACTGAGTTAGATTGTCTATTTGACTATCTCACTTTTTTAAGACTTATTCTTTGAAAATAGGTTGGGGAAGATTTATTTTATTTCTTCTTTAAAGACTGGGTACAAAAGATAATATACTGACAGGAGTATAGATTTGACAATCAGCATTAACTTAGATACAACTATGGAATCTAATTTGACATACCACCTGAAATTATATCTATTATATATGTTCTTACATTATGCATATTATCATTATGTGGTACATGCATATTATGTGATGTGTAAACAATACATGATTAGATATATATGTGTACATATAGAATACTTATCAATGTGCCATTTTGTAAATTATTAATACTATATATATAATGATTTGTTGCTAGTATAATGTATAAAAGAAATTTCTTACTGTCTTTAAATGTTTGGGGAGGGATAGATAAAAAGTAGCACCGATTAGAATTAGAAAAACATATAGGTTGTTGTTTGGATTGTGTGGTATTTTAGTTAACATAGCAGATTGTGATTTTCAAAGGCAATTGCAATAAGCATCTCCTATCCACATGCTCTTCAAGACCCTTGTCACTACCCAAGAACTGGGCAGGCCATTGTGACTGGTCCAAATAAGATAGGTCATTAAAAAAGAAAATCATATCAAATTGTTTTTGTGGAGTTCACTAAAAAAATGACTGTGCTATGAAGAAGCTATATTTTAGAACCTACATACTAATGAAGAAAACAATGGAAGCTACAGAAGAAAGCGAGAGGGATGTTTAAGAAAAGACCTATAAAAGAACACAAGGAATCCTGGTATTTGAGCACTGGGTCAGAGAAGTCAGCAAAGTTGGCAAAAAAAAAAAAAATAATAAGCTCTCTGATGGAAATAATATGGAGGCTTCTCAATGCTAAAAATTGGCATCGAGCAATTCCACACTTCATGATCTACCCAAAGAATGCAAAAACTCTCATTGGATGGGATTCATTTGTTGCAGCCCATGTATTTGTTGCAGCCCTATTTAAAATAGCCAAATTATGGGAATAACCTAAATACCCAGGCACAGTTGTGTAGACTAAGAAGACATGGTAAATATATACAACAGAATACTACCCAGCTATAAAAAAATAAATAAATAAAGATAAAATCTTACCATTTGCAACAACATAGATGGACTTGGAGGGGAATATGCCAAGTGAAATAGGTCAAAAAGAGAAATACAAATACTAGATGATTTCACTCATATGAAATATAGAGAAACAAAACAAAGGAACAGACAAAATTAAACAAAAACAAACCCTAGAAATCTGACTGTTGAAGTGAGGATACCAGAGGGGAAGGGGGGCAAAAGGTGGAAGGGGCCCAATGGACTATGATGAAGAATTATAGCTGTCTTGGTGGTACACATGGATGTGGTAACATACATCTGAATAGGTGTGAACCTGCACATCTGGATCTTACACAGCATTGCACACTAACATTGCCTCAATAAACAATAATATCAATCAATCAATCAGTAAAGCAACCTGGCCAAATACAACAAAATAACTCTGTGAAAATTATTGTGCAAATGGAGGTGGGGGCAAGGAGAAGGAGACAGGAGATAGTGCATTAGTGCTGGAGCTTTGTAGAGGGCATGCAAAACACTTGCACATCTTGAGGTGTGAAATTGTGCTCCTAAGCAAGTATTTTGTAAATGAATTGCAGATCAATAAAATTTTTAAGAAAAAATGCAAAAGAAAAAGCTGTCTGGGAAGTAGCAGATTGTACAGAAAGTATGATAACTAAAAATCCAGGGTAAGAGGGTGTTTTGAGTATGAGGCATCTGTCTGATTTGATCGTGTTTTATTTTTGTTAGAAGTGAGAATTAAAAATAAATCAGATAAAGGAGATCAATTGCATGGGGAAAGATAGAACTTGTTATACTTCATTAAACACGAATTTAATGAAATGTATACATGATGTTGATTTTTCTTCTCAGCCCATCACTTCCTGCTGTCTACTGTGCCAGGATGTTGATTTTTAATGATGAACTCCTGAAATTTACTATTAAAATGCAATATTAAATAAAAATTAAAAATAAAGCTCTTGCATAGAAAATTATCATGCAGGGCCCTCCCTGGTGGCACAGTGGATTAAAACACACTAAAGAAGCTAAAGCCACTTGAGCATGAGTTCAATCCCCGCCCTGGAAGTGACCCACATGGTGTGGCAGACCTCTCCTGACCCGCCCACTGCTCCCCCTCAGCAGTGTACTTTGTCGTTCTATCTGTTCTGCTCCCCACTCTGTCTCTGGTGAAGCCTCTCGCTGCCCCTGCACCTCTGGCTTGTACCCCAGTTCTGTGTGCATAAATAAATGAATCTTTAAAAAAAAAAACTTAAAAAGAAAAAAAAAAGATGGAGCTGGAAAAGATCATGCTTAGTGAAATAAGCCAGAAAGAAAAGGAAAAATACCGGATTGTTTCTCTCATAGCAGGAATATAATGGAACAGGTGAGAAAATAATGATAATGAACAGATATATACCAGAGACATTTTGTGGGGACTGAGTGGGGAATGGTATCAAAACAGCAGGGGGAGGGAAGTACCTGGACTATGTTGATGGCACATGGGTGATTTGGTGATGGGAAACCCAAGGGGATTGCAACTGAGATGGGAAAATGCACAAAAATATGTAAAAATAAACTATTACAAAATTTTTTAAAAATCACATTACTGGGCTTTAGGTAAAATCAAACTGATTTTACATGTGAATGATGTAGATAGTGGCATTTATCTCTACCTTGTAAAAATTTACAAGTATAATTGAGAAATAAACTATATGTGTAATGTCATAGCACCAAAAACAACACTATATTTGGGCACATGTGATAGTTCAAAAACAATTCTGAATTATCTAAGTAAGGTGGTTGGAGTTAGGACTCAAGATGTAGTATTTAGAATGACAGAGAGCAGGATAAGTATAGACAGCAGTAAGAGCTTGCGTCACCAACATTCAATACAAAAGCACAAGGAATGAAGATTTACTGGGTCCTGAAAGCCTGTGGGAGATCACCTAATGGAATGTCCTTGAAGAATGGTCTTCTGCTGACTGAATATCTAGATTTCTTTTTGAAATCTGGAAAGGACTGAAATCTGAAACTTGACAAAAAGTTGATTACAAAATCCAAATGTGTTCTACATTAATGAGAGCTGCATTGTTTTAAGCATTTTACTGTCAACGATTAACAATACACTGCTAATAAACTATCAAGTTTGATCAATAATTGACCAATTACTTGACCGTTTTTCATAGAAAAGTTTTATATGTTCCAGACTTTGTTCATAATCCTTAAATCATTTATTATAATTGTGCATAAAAATTTTACAGTCTGATTTACATTTCTTAGCATAGATCCTAACTTTTCATTCATTCTAACTGAAAAAGAATTTTTTCATTCTACCATTTTTCTAATCTTTTCTAGATGCTTAATTTTAGCTCAGACCTGGACTGTGATTCCATGACTTATCTGACCAAGGAAGTCCCACATTTACTGGCTACCTTTCAAAAAATCAACATGTGTTCCTGCTAACACTATTAGTTTCCTGAGCCAAAGGTCATGAATTATAGGCAGAAATAATAACATACTAGATTTCTTAACCACAGTCTAATGCAAAAGAGAAAGTAAACAATGTGAAGAAACAAATCCTTTGAGTAAAGACTAACCATACAATATTTTCTTAAAAGTTAAAGTTTTTCTTGAGGTAACACTGGTTTGCAACACTGTGTATGATTCAGAGGTTTTGGATCACACTCTTCAGAAGTATGTCACTACACAACACCCACCACCAAGATATCCATAGTCCTCCACCATCATCCATTTCTCCTCTAACACTTTGTTCTCCCTCCTCCTCCCTCAATTCAACAGTCATATTTATGGGATTTGTGGGATTTGTATTGTTTTTGTTTTGTATGTTCTGTTATTTTGTTTCCCTATATTCCACATGAGTAAAACCAGCTAGTAGATACTACCATATCTCAAGCAAACAAAGCAATAATTCTTAAATTACATTGATCTTTAGAAGATCCACATCATTAAACCTGAAAACCATAATTGGTTCAATGATTCAGATGCTAGCCTAATAATATTAATCAAATCATTTTATGCTGATTGATTCTAAGCCATACCTTTTTAGAAAGCCTGCTAGAAAATAAAATATATTACTTAGGCTCCTGCATTACCTCTAAGGTCACTCTTATCTATGATTCCAGCTGAGTGATTTGTAACTGTGGGATATTTATTGGAGGTTAATATATCTACCTACTAGAATTTCCTGTAATAAGTCTACCTTTCTACTTACAAAAAAAAATCCTTTGAAATATAAATGTAGGACATCATCTTTTATAGGTATAGCCTACTAAAAATATTATTAATTTATGAGATAAACTGAATTTAGCATTGCTGTAATGATTCAAGATTTTTGAAAATTATAAGATCACTGTTTTGAACATTCTAAGTGTGCAAGTTGGCATATGAAAATATCACCTCTTTTCAAGTAACTATTGTGTTCATCTAGGTATGCTGAGAAGCAGATGCTGAGAATATTAAGTGGGAAAAGATTTTATGACTGCTGTGAGATGGTTGTGCTAAAGAAAATGGGGAGAGAGCTAGAGAAGGCTGGGTAACAGTTCAGACCCTGATGTAAGATGATCCCAAGAGAAGGAGAAAGCTGAGGAGGTTTGGGTGGGAACTAGTTAGACCACAGAACAGTCACCAGAAGACTCAGCAGCGCTCTTGGTTTAGCCAAAGTGGGCTTACGAGCATCCTTTGTCTTCTTAAGCTGATCTACCTTAGTGTTTGTACTGCACCTACTCATTGGCTGAAGTCTCCTGTGAGGTGCAAATCCTTAGTTCATATACTCCAGTCAATCTAAAACTGAGGCCCTTCCTTCACTTTCCCGGCAGTAGGAAGTTTGTCTGATACATTCATTCCCATGGCTGCCACAACCACCAAGTCAGCATCTCCAAACCTGACTTCTTTCCTGATTTTTGCTCCAAGATTATGAACTGCCTATAAGAAAGCCCAGTATGAATTATCTGCTGAAGCATCAAATTTGGTGAATCAGTGTATTCCATATTGAATTTATTAGTTCTGTCCTAAGTCATACCACCATTCTCCCAAAAACCAAGTCAGTCTTTACCTCTTCTCTCCCTTTGCCTTCCAGATCCAAATAACAAATGAATTCTGTTGAGCCATTCTCTACCCCCATTTTCCCCTCATCTCCTTTCTGCACGTCCTCACTGATTTACTGTTGGGCCTTCATCTCCTTTATGGTACATAATCTGAACTGTGTCTTCTCTGCAGGTCCCCCTCACTCTATGTTCTCTCTGATCCATTTTAAGTGCTGCTGCCAGATTACTCTTACATGGTGTTCAAGTGGCAGACATGATTGTTTTATTCCTGTTCTTAAGAAACAAAGATAGGCCCTGTGGCACAGTGGGTTAAAGCACTGAGAAGCTGGCCAGGCCACTTCTGTGCAAGTTCTATCCCTGATCCCTGGTCCCGGAGGTGACCCACAAGGTGCAACAGACCTCTCCTGTCTTGCCCGCTGCTCCCTCGACAGTGTACTTCATCAATCTGCCTTTTCTGCTCCCCACTCTGACTCTAGTGAATCCTTTCACTGCCCCTGTATCTCTTGCCTGCACCCCAGTTGTGTATGCAAAAATAAATAAAACCTTTTAAAAAAGGAAACAAAAATAAGTAACAACACTTCAGTGGCTCCCATTTTCTTACAAAACGAACTATAGCCATAGATTGTCTTTCAAGGACCTCCATGATTTGGCTCCAGTTTAGCTTTTCAGTTTCACCTCCTAAAATTCTTCTAGTACATACTGGTCAGAGTCTTCCAGAGTTACAGCAGGACCCCAGTGGGGCCACATTATATTCAGCTCCCCTACCTCTGGGAACTTTGCTTACTGACTTGCTTTTATTTTTTAAATCATAGCTGTGTTGCTTCCAAACTTTTCATCACAGCTCAAATCTAACTCAGATGTTACTATCTCCCCAAACCCCTTAACTTGAAGTATCCTGTTTTGCTGGCATTTGATTGCATATAAAATATGCCTCTACTTTATAATTAGATCTGTGGTAGTGGGGAACAAGTGCACATTACCAAACGTGGATTGAAATTGGCTTTGTGAGGAAAGATGTATTATTTTGTTCATCTGAATACTGAATGCTGAAATACAGCAGGAAGGCATAAATTCTGAATAAGAAGTACTCTTAACCTTTAGCCCTGAAAAATGTAAATTATAAGTTTCAAAAGAAATGTTTTGGTGCCATGGGATACTGGAATATTGCAGGCACCACCCAGCAAATTTATTAGTAATTGGACATCATATAATGCAGTAAAGTAAATGCCACTATAGTATCTCGGGGGTAATTTAAATACCAAGCCACCGTACAAAATAAGTGCAGTGAATTATTATTATACAGATAGCCAAAGTACATACAGGAAATCATATTTCATTGTGAGCCAGTGCAAAACCCAAGCACAATAACAAACCTTCATGTTTATACATGAAGTTAATGTTCATTGACTCTGCCTAGAGAAAAATGGTTTTAAAAAACATAAATACATACATTAGCTTGCGTAGGATGTTACAGCAATGCCTTTGTTTGCTATGGTTTATGTTAGTAATATATTTAAATGTGAAGTGTTTGAGGCATAACTGAAACCCTACTTTAGATCAGCATATAGTCTATGATTTTTAAATTTTGCTCCTGGTGGATGTCAATAGGTGGTAAATACAAAAACTGTAATTTTGTTTCCTTCCTTTAAATCCCCACAGCACATCCCCATACATCTCTTACAGCTGTACCTATTCAACCTGCTGTTGTGATCTTCATTGAATTCCACTGGACTACAAGATTGAGAGTAGAAGGTCTGCTGATTCAGTTTTATGTCCTCACAGTTATTTGCACTTGGATGAATGAAAGGAATCAGACCAACTGAATAGGCAATCAGGCGAAATAGAAGGCAAAGTAGAGGTTTATCAGACTAGGAGGGAAATAAAGCACTAGAGGCTAAGAGAAGAGCATGTGGGAAGGTGCCAGAGAAGTGTGTTCTGTAGAGGGAGGAACTGAGAAAAGAAGCTAAACTAGTAGAAGCCAAGTCATTAAATACGGCAGGAAGGCTAACAATTTGGACCTTATTCTTGAGGCGTGGGAAATCATGGAAACAAAAGGGTGAGACTTGTATTTAAGAAAGGTCACTGTGGCTGCATGGAGGTTGGCTGCGGGGCAGGGATGCCGATGAGGAGGCTGTTACCACATGTCAAACACGACAGCATTAGGTTTGGTCCTGAAGCAAAAACCAAGAGAATGAAGCAAAGGAGAGGATCCAATAAGTATGTGGGAAGTTTAAGTGAGAGGTGTTGGAAGGTGGGAGTCTAAGTCGACTTACGTATTCAAGTGGAGATGCCGCCGTGGCCTGCAGCTCTTTAGGTAGAGAAGGGTTCTGTATGGGAACTGCGAAGTGGGAAAATAATGGTACTCATAAAACGAAAAGAAGAAATTTGACGCAAGCGAGTTGGAGAAATGAGAAAGTTGTTTATAATACTGTATTTTGTCATTATCCTTCCATAGCTTGGATCATCAGTCTCCCCTTTCATTGTTCAAACCTGTTAGATGAAAAGAACTTTTCTTTTCACACATAACTCTCTCTTGTCTGTTGTAACCTTGCTGAAATCAGCATGTAGCAAGCTGACACTTTCTTTACTTAAAAGAGTAAATTTTAAATGCCCTACTTTCGATCATAATACTCGGAATCCAAAATGGTCAAGATCACTTAAAATTTTAAGCACTAAAAGGCTAAGGTAGCAGACAAATGTGTATGTGAGAATCATTTATTTTTGTAAGTAATAAGAAACCATTTCTGAGGCAGTACAAAGAAATCTCAAGTAATACCAATTCAATACCTAGTTTCTGTTGTAAGAGAAAGTGGGAAATGTTAAACTATAGGAATAGTTCTAAATTTCCAACAATACAAATGGGCTTTGGGATGTTTCCCTAAACCTTGGAACAGAGATTTAATTTCTCTATGACACAGAGGCCAGGATTTAAGCATTTTAAGTATCAACCCAGAGATCATCACATATAGATGACAAACACATTCACAGCTGCCAAGTTTTATGATTCAGTCATGAGAGAATTTGTTGAAACCTTTCCCATGATCTCAGTATCTTCAGACTACAGTAAAGGAAAGGCTGAGAACTTGCAGAATCACAAACTTCTAGAATAATTTAACATATGAGGTACTAAAATTCTCTCTTGAAATCTCTGTACTGTAATCTGAGATGTGTAAGTAAAGTGTATTGATCTTTATTCTCTTTGTATTGACTCCTGGATCATCGCAGATGTCCAAATGATAGCTTGACTTTGCTTTTCCAATGTCCTGGATGGTGAACATTTTTTCTTACAAATGCTACCTGGTCTCATTGAGAGTGGTAGCAGAAAATCTATATTTCAGAGACTCATGAGGAAATACGTCCTATAAATACTTAGCATCGTCTATATTCCAGGCACTGTACTGCATTTTCACTTTTAATTAATTAAAATGGCTCAGCTCACACCAGTTCCACATGTGAAAGGCCTATTCATTTTCTATTGCTGTGTAACAAATTACAACTCATTTCACAGCTTAAAACACCACCAACTTCTGAGTTCACTGTTTTGTGATCAGAAATCTGGGCATGATGGGATTCGATTCTCAGTTCAGAGTCTCATTTAGCTAAAATTATGGGCTCAGCCAGACTGTGTTCTCATCTAGACCCCAGGATTCTTTTCCAAATAGAATTGTGGTTTTAAAAATGAGGTTTACATTTTCTTTCTGGCTGCCAGCAGGGAACTGCTCTTAGCTCATACAAACTTCCTACAGTCTCTGCAAAATGGTTCCTTTCATCTTCAGGGCCAGCAGTGAAGACTACCCCTCTGTTTACTACTCCTCACACTTCAGATATCTCATGAAAGATCCTAGTCCCTCTTACAGGATTACTTGATTAGGTTAGGACAACCTAGGATAATCTCCCCCCTGTTTTAAGGTAAACTGAATTGAGATCATGGTATCTGCAAAATCTCTTCCAGCAGCACCTACATTAATGTTTGACTGAAATCTGGAAGCTATGTATACTCTAGAGACCAGGGAATCTTGAACACAATCTTATAATTAAATATGTCAGTCTCAAAAGTCCGCAAAGTGTCAGGTAGTTTGCATTGTTATCTGGACGCCTGACCAGGGAAGAATGTGTTTCCTGTTTCACACCTGTTTCAGTTTATTGATAGAAACCATTTCTTTGTGGCTATATGACCACCTTGAACTTTTGTTAGCTGTTGGTAGAAACCTCTCACCAGTCCATGCCATGTAACTTTCTGCATAGGCATTTCAAAACAGAATCATATCATGGGAGTGATATCCTATTATCATCCAAGTCATTAAATGCGACAGGAAGGCTAACAATTTGGACTTTATTCTTGGGGTGTGGGAAATCTCTGGGTTAGAGGCAAGTTAACAACTTCTGCCCCATGCTTCAGGGAATGAAATTATGTAAGAACATGACTTGCATAAAGTATTAAAAGAAACAAATTTCATGCTTTATGCTGTCACCTTATGTTGGATTAGCTACAAAGTCTATGGCTAAAGCGACTACGGAAGAAGTTCAGATTGAAGTAGTGTTTAGAGTTCTGTGGACAGGGTCTGCAGGCAGCCTTAGGTATTTTGAGTGTACAGTAGTTAGTAGTTGCCAACAGGATGTCAACCCAAATAAAGATAAGGGCATCCCAGACTCCAGTCCTGCTATCAAATTGTCTGTGTTTGGATTGTTAAACTTTACCTCTCTGTGCCTCACTTTCTTCTTACAAAATGAATATGATAGTACCCCCCCCAACGGGTCATTATGAAGATTAAGGAGACACCATTTAAAATGGAAACTGACATACAATAAATACTCAAATTAGACATTATTTTATATTCTTTATTCCCTCTTGATGAAGTGTATTCTTTTTTTACATAT